CAGATTCCAAAAAACCTTGCTTTCAATTAGAGTAAACATAATTAGAGTGACGTCGTGCTCAGAATGGTAAATCTCTCTTTGAATCTATTAAGCATGTTATCTCCTTGCCCTGTCACTGAAAGGCATTCAGTATATATGTGGAAGACACATCTGTATTTTTCTGTGCGTGCTTCAAGTAGTACTTGGGACAAATTTAAAGAATAAAATGATAAAAATCTCTTCGCATCGCCCTTTCTTCATATGCCCAAATTGTTTCTGTTTCACTTAGTGATGCCATAAAAGGAAGATTCAGAAACATTTGCCATATTAAAGGCACACATCTGGATACACCTCACCTTTAAAGTAATCATTTTAGTTTTTATATTCTATGAAATATACGTTTTCATTTTAAAAATAACTATATCTACTGCTCTATTGAAACTCTGGAGATGTAAAGATGTGACTTTATCCTGGCTTTGTCAATATTTGTACCTTTGTTACAATCTTCTGCTTTGCAGTCATTTACCAGAATTATAATGCAGCATGAATAAACCTAAAAAATGACTATTGATTACAGAGAAAGCTTTGTGAAATCATTTAGTCAGTTTCCCCACTTGAGAAATCAGTAAATAAAATAGGTCAATACAAAAGGATGCAATAGATGTAATACAGTGCTGTGTCTCCCTGAGTTATAAAAAGGGTCAAAAATAAATCCCTATAGAATTCGTTTTTATACTCATAAAAGAAAATGATACTTACCAAATCCCAACTCTAAGTCCATCATTCTATAGATCCATTCTTTTTTTTTTAAACCACAGGTTTTGAAAATGTGTTTTTATGTGTCCCTGTTTCATTTCCTTGTCACTGCCCCTTTTAACCAAATAGGATGTCCTCATCCTCTCGGCTAAAGTGCCTGCTATCATCCAGGTATTCACCAGGACTTGAGCTGCAATAGCTACTTTGTATTTCCTTACTGTCTCCTGAAACCTTGCAGTTCTTCTTACAACTGCATTTCATACTGCACTGAACTCTGCATCCCGCCGATTTTTGTTAAGTAGTAGATGAGAGACCTGAGACCACTCTCTGTATTAGTTCTCATTCGTAGGGATCTTGTCTGGGGGGGTGGGGTGAGGGAGGAAAGAAAAGGAGGGGCCAGAAGGGGGCAGGAGGAGGGAAGAAAATACCTTCCCTGAACTGGTACAAGCTAAGCTTCAAACGATATCCTAGGAAAGAAATTAAAGACTTCTTAATTAGTGCAGCAATTAAGCTTTCTTGGTAGCATTTTAATCAGCACAGGCCCTATCAAAGGACAAACAGAACGATTTGCAGGTCTTTGAATTTTAAACAGTCTTATTGATTTCAGCACAATATGTCTTCACAAAACACAAGGAGAATTTTCTAATATCAGTTACAATACTTTGAGTTTTGCTTATGCAAATTGAGTGAAGGTTGTGGAAGATGAGATGGAGGGAGAGGACCTGAAACAGCAAGCGATGTAAAACAATAAACAAGACAAAAGCTCTGAAGCTAAAGATGTAATAGAATGAGAATTTGAAATATCTCAAGTTGATTTCTCTGCTTGTTGTTAAATACTTTGACTTCATTATTGGTAGCGTTTCTCAGAAAAAAAAAGGATAAAAAAGAATACTTCACATTTTTTCAAGGCTTTTCTTTCCTACATATTTTAATTTGCATTATATGACTTTTCTAATCCTATTGTTTGATCAAAGGAGTGATAGTTCCTTGAAATGGCTTAGAGACCTGAGATGAATGTGGTGGAGTTGAAGGGGTAGGACTCCCATTTAGGTGGGACAAATGCCCCCAAATGCTGCTTAAAATTAGGCACGGCTCAGTGGTAGAGGGCTCCTTGTAGAAGAAAAGAACATTGGAGATGGCATCCATACAGGGTTGGGGTTATCCCTTGGTTTGCTACCACTGCTTCCTGCCTGTGGCTTCAGAGTGTGACAGGTTTTGGGTGACTGATAGTTTAAGGAAATGTGAGAAATGAAAATGGTAAGGACAGATTTTTAACATTTAACTACCATTTTTTTTCCATTTGCATGACTACAAGTTTTAAATAAGGATATGTAGCTTAGCACTTAAAAACCCTGTTTATTAAAGCTAAGTATGCAATTCTGAAATTAATTTTTCATAGCTTAACACTTTCTTTTTCCCTCGCCCTCATTAATATAGTAATCTGGCATTCTGAAAAAAAACTGTAATATTCTAAAGCATGTATAAACACCTAAAGAAGTGTTCTGAAGTATGTGACATATATTGACTGTCTACATTTAATTGAAGACTAATTTAAGGAACAAAAATTAGTAAAAATAATTTGTGACTATATTAAAATGCATTGAGTAACTAGGCCAAACAGCTGTGTAAACTTTAGCTATCCTTGTAGAAGTTTATCTACTTTTCTGCAACAGTTTTCTCAATATTCAACAGTTTTCTCAGTAGAAATCCTCTTGATTTAACTGCTATGCCCTCAAAAGTTTAGCATAAACTCAGCCTAGTCAGTTCAATAGTGTCACATTTCTCTGTCGATAGTTCCTGCACTTTTTGACACTACACTTCAAAGAGTTTAAAGGATTAAAATGATAAAGAGAAAAGTGATAATAATTTCAACATCAAATCGCCAGATTTCTCAACACTGTGAACCTGTTACTAAGAGTTTATTTTTAAATTCTGTCAAATGCTATCACATTGTTTCGTATCTTGTGGAGTCACTGGACGTGTGTAGACAGGTTCAAAGCATAAGTATTTAAGATTCCTCGAGATATAAGCAGCAAACAGACGTGGCCTATGCTTAAATCATATGTTGGTCAAAAATCCTTGAGTAAATACCTCCATGCAACAAGTTAGAAAGGGGAAGAAAAGGAGAGAGACGGCAAAAGAAGAGAGTCACTCTGCACTGTCTACTGTTGTTTTCAAGGTTAGCTACCCTTTTTGCTTTTAGAACTCAAGCAGTGATCTTAGGTTTTGTTCTCCTCATTATTTACAAGACACATCACTGGCAAAGTGAAAAGAACTTTCTCAAAATATTTTGATGCTTTTCAAGTATGAAAAAAAAAATCACTATTGTGTAACTTAAATATCACACTAGCCACTAGTCTTGGATCTTACAAGGATGTGGGATAGTTGGTTACTGCCCAAGAAAGGTGATTTAATTATAGAGCTTGGTTAAGAAACATCAGTGTTTAATTTTTTCTGCTTTCCAAGTCTTTAAGGATGCTGTTCTCTAAATCTTTTTTAGGTAGAACAAATGTTTCTGACCTGGCTTTGGGGTGAATGTGGAGTTGTTCTGAACAATCTAAATCATGTCAAGCATTTATTTCCACTGACTATTAGGAAATAAGGAATTCATTACAGAGCATGTCATTATTCTTAAGCGATTTCCCACTGACTTCCCACAACTTGGTAACTCTCCTGAAATTCTCACTGTCTTTACAGAAATGATAGAGATATTTAAACAAATCAGATGCATTAAAAACATTACGGTTTGCTTACATGTGAATTTTCCTCAAAAGAATTTCTTAACAATCATGAAGTAGGGATGTGTTTTCATTTATATCTCCTTGCAAAAAGGCGCGGAGATGCATCCTAAATCCTTGAAGAACTCAGAGCGCTCTGGCTCTCGTTTAAGTTGTCAGGCTACTACTTAGAAGCTTTGGGGGGAAAAATTACTAGTCGTCGCGGATGAAGCGGAGTATCTGGCGTGCATTCTAACGGTAGTAGGAGAAGAGAAGTCGACGGCGTCGCCTCTCCTCTCCGGCCGCCCCTTCTGCGTCCCTGCCTCTGCTCTCCTCGCCTCAGCCTCTTTCCGTCTCCTCCCCCTCCCTCCCCCTTTCCTTGCCAGCTCCCCTCTCTCCCTGCGTCTCGCGCTCTCGGAGTCTCTGCCCCGAGTTCCTGGTTGGATAATTTGGGTTAATACTAGTGAGTGAGGTTTTTGCGGCTTCAAAGGGTATTTCAAGTTTCCGGAGCTCCTCCCCTCTGCACCGTGTGACAACAACAACTCGTCCAGCCGGCAGCCTGCACTTTTCAGCTCATTTTCTCTCTGTCATTCCCCTCTCAATCTTTGATCAATGTACATGCCAGAGAGAACCCAAGTCCCTCCATCCTCTTCCTTTTCACCTCCATCCTTAACTTTGTGCTAGAGCGGGACCCACACCCCCGCAGCCGACCCTCTCCGCCCCGCCCCCGCCCCCCAGCCAGCCCTGGATCCCGGCCCCGGGAGAGGACTCGCATTTCGACTTGCGGGACACTTTTGTGCGTTTCTCTCGAGCGCGCCTCTCGCGGTCGCCCCTCCTGCGCTCGCGCTTTCTAACCCTCCGCTCCTTCTTCCTTTCTCTCCCTTTCTCCGTCTCGTCCCCTCCTAGAGTTGTTGTGCTTGTTGCTGCCCGGCTCCTCGCTTCTTCTCCCCCCCGTCTTTTCCCCTTCCCCTCCCCGGGGTGTGTGTGGCAACTTTTCCCCCGTCGCGGCTCCTTCTTCTGTTTGTCCTTATATGTGACCATGGCAGTGCCGGCGGCTTTGATCCCTCCGACCCAGCTGGTCCCCCCTCAACCCCCGATCTCCACGTCTGCTTCCTCCTCTGGCACCACCACCTCCACCTCCTCGGCGACCTCGTCCCCGGCTCCGTCCATCGGACCCCCGGCGTCCTCCGGGCCATCTCTGTTCCGGCCGGAGCCCATCGCCTCTGCTGCG